GTATGACATTTATTTCCTATCGCAGATCAGCTTATTTAACACTTGTGTTTTCGTCTGATTGTCAGCCGATATTAAAACAAGTTATTCCCTTTAAACTCCAAGTATTGAAAACAGAGTCCATTAGTGAAGGAGCAAACATATGGTTATTTGATACTGGAGCAGACAATAATAATTCTATACTTTTAAGCAACCTCCTGCACTGATTCCAGATTTTTATTGTGTGAGTTACAACCGGATTAGAAGTATAAGTTGAGATGGGTTGATTAATCGATAACCGGGAGCAAAGTAAAGCAGAGAGAGAGCTCGCGAAGTTCTGAGTTTTTAGCACGAGTTGCGGCTGGAGCAGCTTGAGCTTTGGTTGGTTTTTTTCTTTTTTTTTTAGAGTTTTTGGTAAAACACAGACGGTGCATCTAAGTTATTTTAGGGAGCTACGGTTTCAATGCTCTTGACGAGTCTGTCGCGGGTCTGTCGCAGCCTCCCTCCCAGGTACAGAGGCGGGGGAAGCCCCCTCCTTCTCTCTCTCTCTCTCTCTCTCTCTGTCTGCCTGCCTGCCTCCGTGCGTCTTCTGAACCGAGTCAGGTTTATACGGAACGGGTTTTCATTTAAAACATTCTGAATCAAACGCCTACATTACACATTGCTGGAATTTATTGTATGCGGGAATTTAATGCATTACAATATTACGGACGGATGGACAGAAAAAAAAGCGGCTTCCAAAGCTGTCGCACCAGTGCTACAAAGTCTTTTTCTTTTATAGCACAGACAGTTTTTTTTTCATAGCACGTGCGACATATATGTCGCACTGTACAGCCCTGCCACATGAGAAACCATTCCTGTCCGGACCCAGGTCCACCTATTAGTGACCCCCTGGTCTACGGTCAGGACTGTCCACATCACCTGCTGCCTTGCTGGTGGCTGAGTCGGAGCTTGAATTTCTCCAAGTTCTCTTCTAGAACTCACGTTTGTTTTGGCAAAAGTGTTTTACTTTATTCCTGACTCGACCCTCACCATTTAATCCGACTTTGGACCAGCATGAGACATACACTGACTTGTGCTCTCAAGTGGCTATTTTGGGGAAAACAAAACAAAAAAAAACATTGGTTTAAACTTGGGATGCAACTGTTCCTCCTGCTCTACTGCTAGAACATCATAAAGCTTTTGTAGTAACACCTGCCTCTTTTTTTATTTTCTGTTTTTAGCCAGGTCCCGATGTTTGTGCAGGTCCAGCAGAAGTGGAGACGGATTTACACAGGAGAGTGCCAAGGACCAGGTGTGCGCACGGACTTTGAAATGGTCCAATTGCGCAAGGTGCCGAGCCAGTACAACCACCTGTCTGGTCTTCTGGACATCTTCAAGTCCAAGATAGTAAGTGCACTCCAGTTAGTTGACTGACTGTTGATGGTCTCTGTTGTTAAAATTCAGTGCTATATTTTGTGCATACTTCATGTAATCTAAATTTACACACCAGTATATTTTTGTATCTTGAAGTTTGGCAGCTTCCTTTATTGTCCAGTTTTTAAAAGCAACCAATTTGCAGGTGACATTGTGACCAAAAATAGACAATTGATTCAGACTATTTCATGGGCAGGTGAGGATAATTCCATCTATGTCAATCTTAATCAAGCAGATAAAAAGCCTGGAGTTGGTTTGAGGTGTGCTGCTTTCATTTGGAAGGTTTTGCTGTGAAATAAACATGTGGTCAAAGGAGCTCTCCATGCTGGTGAAAGTAGACATCGTTAAGCTGCAAAAACAGGAAAAAAAAACATCTGAGAAATTGCTACAATATTAGGAGTGGCAAAATCTACAGTTTGGTACATCCTGAGAAAGAAAGAAAGCACTGGTGAACTTATCAATGCAAAAAGACCTGGGTGCCCACAGAAGACAACAGTGGTGGATGATGGCATGGTGAAGAGAAACCCCTTCACAACAGCCAACCAAGTGAACAACACTCTCCAGGAGGTAGAAGTATCAAT